CCCTCAACCCAAAACCCCAAACCTTAAACCCTAAACCCTAAACCCTAAACCCTAAACCCTAAACCCTAAACCCTAAACCCTAAACCTTAAACCCTAAACCCTGATCCCTCAAAGCCCCCAGGGCAGCCTGTGTAGCTACCATCTTGCAGGCCTTGGGGCTTCAGAGTTCAGGCCTTTAGGCTGGTGGGAATCCACCCTCCTTAAAGGTTCATGGGGCTTTGTGTTTAGGGTTTAGGGTTTAGGGTTTAGGACTTTGGGTTTAGGGTTTAGGGTTTAGGGTTTAGGGTTTAGGGTTTAGGGTAAGGTAACTATACGTTTAAGCACTTATGACCCCAATTAAGGTAGTTATAGCTGTATTTATTAGGTCCCATGAACCTCCAAGTAAGTTGTCGGGGGAGGTCCGGCACCTAAACCTACACCTTTTGGGGTAATACGGTTGATGATATACATCCCGCAGTACCTTAAGGACCCTGAACTATGGTATATTCCTTATTATGGGTAATGCAGGGTTTAAATCATCAACCGTATCGCTGAACAGAAGACCCCACCCTGAACCGTAAACCCTAACTAAACCCTGTGTTTTTTGGGTCCCTAAACCATGCGCACGCAAACTCTTCTAGAGCTGCTCCTGCGAATGCCGGGTTCCGGCCTGTGCAGCCTAAGCGAAATCAGGCGAAGTCCATATAACGTCGGGCGATCCATGTAAAGTCGGGTGTCCGTTATGGTTTTCTACTATAAGGGCTCCTTAGGAATACTTCTTCTCGGGGGGGTGGGTAGTAAAACTCCTAATTGACGGCCTGCTTGAGTGCTTGGACTCTTCGGGTTCATCCGAATTGACCGCCCCAGCAGAGTCTGAGGATGGTCGAAACAGTCAAAGAGGGACCCCACCCTACAGGCGCAACGCAACACCCCCAAACCCTAAACCCCAAACCCCAAACCCTAAACCCTAAACCCTAAACCCTTCTCTTTTACTTACAGCCCAAATAGCATCATATATTGGGCTTAGCGCGCACTCAAACCTTAAGCCGTGCGCAGGAGTTTGGCGACAGAAGAGCCGAGGCTATCTGCTGAGGGGTATGACTTGAGTGTCTTTTGGGTTTGCTGCGGCGATAGTTTGATTTTACACACTTTATAAAATACTCTTACACACTTTATAAAATACTACGCTGCTGAGGCCACCTACTGTGATGTTCCGGAAACGCAACTACTCTGCAACCGATGTTACGGTGAGAAGTGATCCAGAGCATCGAAACTGTCGTCCTCCTGACGTATGCTTTCTGGATTTTCAGAGTTCCTTATTTTGTCGTGGGGCTTGTTCCGAGAGTTGTCGCTGCTGCTTCGGGTGCTGAAGCCTGTATAGCTTTAGTCTTGAAGTACTTTTAATTACCATCAGCTAACGACTTAATCCGCTTGGTTTGTAGGGTTACAGGGCTTGTGGAGTTAGTCAAAGGTAAGGGGCTTATCAGGTTTGCTTGCACGGTTTATGGTTTCCTGCTTTGGACCTGAAGGGCGTTTAGTCTAGCCGGAGTAATGCAGAAGCTTGTGGTGTGGCGTGGTATGACAAAGCCCGTAGTGAAAGCTGCTGACCTTAGAACCAAGCTCTAAACCCTAAACCCTAAACCCTAAACCCTAAATATTGAACCCTAGAACCAAACTCTTGATCCTTTGAGCTTTGGCCTGAAGACTCATGCAAAGTCGACGTGGACTTGGGTTTTTTATGCTAGCTGAGGAAAGTTAGGCTGATGGGAGCCCGGTTCTACCCTTCTACCGCGTTAGCCGGAAACCCTGACACTTCAAGCCTCCGGACAGAAATCGTAAGTCTTCAAAAATTGAAAGCAGCAGATGGCATTTCAGATGCATTGCTGCCTAAACCCTAAACCCTAAACCGGGAGCCGTGTAAGCACCTCGAAGCCTCAAGAGCGCCCTGTTTTTCGGCCACTCTCCAGGCGACCGCCCTCGAAATGATGGCCTTCGCGTTGTCCCAAAGTGGCGACGTTCCCGAGGCCTCGCTTCAGTAGAGCTCAAAGGCATGATTCGTGTCGAACTTTCACAGGTTACCTTTCTATGCATGTCTTTGTGAAGCTGTTTTCAACAGGTCGGATCTTGAATCGAAGGCCTTGGGGCATTCAGGGTTTCGGTTTGGGCTAGAACTCTAAATCCGAGCGATCCCATGCGTAGCTCCGAGGAAGCTTCGTAGGCCTGTTCGACCAATGGCATCTTCACTTAAACCCGAAAGCCCGAAGCCTACCTATAGTCTGGGGCTTAAGGGTTTAGGGTTTGGTTTTTTTTTTGGTTGCTTTTCCGGCTCGTAGAGTTGGAGCAGGTCATGGGCAAAGCCATGTTGAAGGCAGTAAAACTCTAGTTTCAGGGACTGTACATTCCCGCCATGAGATTTTTCTGTAAGTCCGAAGGAATGCAGTTGCCTGTGGAGACAATCCGAAGCGAAGTGCCGGAACACTTAATCTGGCGTTTGAAGCACACCAACCCTAAACCCTAAACCCATTTTGAATCCGAAACCTTAAAACATAAGGCTGAGACCCATAGTATCTCAACGCTCTCCGTGGACGGAAAGCCCTTTGATTCACATGCCGTCAACCTCAAACCGAATCAAAGTCTAAACTTGTCTAAACCATTGTCGAAACCAGAACACATCGAGCTTGAATCAAGCTTCAGCCCTTCCAAAAATTAGTGCTTCCGCTGTATGTCAAACGCTCCAGCCCTAAGCCCTAAAATCTTCAACCACCTCGTGCACCATCAGGCGCTCAAGGGAAAAAATCCTCAACCAAACCCTAAGCCCTACCTGTAGCCGAAAAGATTTATACCTTCCCAAGGAACCCTACATAGCCTGATAAGGAACCCTAAAAAGGTATGTCTATTCGGCTACTTCAAGGTTCATGGGACTTAGTAATTAGGGTTATAAAGAGGAAGCTATACATATAACCCCAAATAATTAGGGTACTCATACCTGTACTGATTAAGTCCCATGAACCTCCAGGTAGACCCTAAACCCTAAACCCCTAAACCCTATACCCCTAAACCCTACACCCCTTAAAGGGACCCTAACTGTACTTATTAAGTCCCATGAACCTCCAAGTGAGGGTAACACCCCCAAATCCTGAGCTTCAACTTTGCTGTGCCTTGCGGAGGCCATCAAGCGAATGAGGCAGCAGGCCGCCTCAGAAAGCTTACTGGGGCTGTGATGCTTAGGGCGTGTGGGTTTAGGTTGGGAGTTATGAACTTGTTTAGGGTTAAGGGGTCGGGGTATTTTGTGATTGGTTCAAGGGTTTAGGGTTTAGGGTTTAGGGTTTGGGGTTTAGGGGTTTAGGGTTTAGGGTTTGGGGTATATTGTGCTGGGTTCACGGCTGAGGGTTTACTAGGGTTTGTATGGTTCATTGTTTAAAGCATCTACGCCGTTCATCCCTAGTCCTACTCTTCATGTCCTGATGGGTAGATTAGCTGCTTGTGCTTAGGGTGGTCTTGTAGCAAGGATTAATATCTGGTGAGTAGTTGGGAGTTTCAGAAAATAAAGCACCCCACTGTAGGCCCCAAATGAAAAGCCACCCTCATTGCAGCAAGAACTCACCAAATGCCCACTCCCATGCCTCCCTTGGATGCTTCCTCAGCGGATGATTGTCGGCGGCACAGGGGATCCGAAGCAGACCTACCAAGCCAAGGAAGCCTCCAGGCATGCCCCTGATCGTAGTCTGCAACTTGCAGGTCGCAGGAAGGCACTCTAACAGTCTTCACAACGCTTAACCCATGAAGCTCGAAAGCCTAAACAAACCTTAGTCAACCTTAAACAGCCTTAGCCCTTCGTTGCGAAGATGGCGCTTTTCCAAAGCCTGGAAGACAAGAAGGCCCAGTCACGCTCGCCCAGAGCTCGGAACCTCCTGTGGCAGATTTTCTGTTTATTCGGGTCTTATACTTAATTTTCAGAGCATCTGAAGGGACTGGGTTTGAGCATACGCTTTAACAAACGCTTTAAAAGCTTCAATTATACCTGGCAAGGGAAACGCAGGCGTTTGACTCCCTGGTAGATGAGGGGAGTTCCTGGTTCAGCAAGCAAAGATGAATGACTCGAGGCAGTGAGGGCATCTGATCAAGAGACGTTTTTCTGCCATTCACAAATACCTTGTAAAACCGATACCACAAAGACTAGACCCAAAACCCTGAACCCCTAAACCCTAAACCCTAAACCCCTAAACCCTAAACCCGTCGCCAAGGCTACGCACCGTCTGCCGGCTGTGCCTCCATTGTGGGGACACCGAGCAGGGCCAGGTCGCCGCAAAAGAGGCGCCTGAAGGGATCTTCTTCTCATTACGATTATTGTAAATCATGTTTTTGTTTTTGTTGTTGCTGTTGTGGTGGTGGTGGTGGTGGTGGTGGTGGTTGTAATTAATTTCGGATTGTTCTTAGTCTTCTTAGTAGTAGTGTTACTGCAGTTACTATGGTTTTAATTTTCTGTTGTTATAGTAGGGTTTAGGGTTTGGGATTTTTTGTGTTTTTTTCCAAAGCTGAGGGTTCAGCTTTTCAAGACTGAGGATTTACGCTTAGGGTGGGTTAAAGAAGGAACCCATAGAACCCCGTAAAAACCCTAACGCGCTTCACACCGCATCTAGAAACCTCGATAGTTTGAGTGACCTTTCCAATACAGGCCCCTTTCAAGGAGTGCTTGAAGGTTCTTAAAGCAACCCTTAACCTCAAGCCTTTAAAGCTCAAAAAGCAATCCTAAACCCTAAACGCTAAACGCTAATTCACCCCTAAACAACGAGGGACCCTTAAAGCAACCCCGGCTTTCTGGGGGCTTCTCTGTCAGGCCGCAGCCTTGTCCGAGGAGTTGCGGCTCCATCGAGAGCAGGCCGAACCCACACGGGAACAGAGTGAATAACTATATATTATATATATATATATATATTACATAATAGATATAATATATATATATATATATAGATATAATATATATATATATATAATATATATATATATATATATATATATATATTCATAGGGTTTAGGGTTCAGGGTTTAGGGTTTGAGTGACCCAGAGAGCCCAATACCCCTTGAATAAGGAATATACCTTAAGTTATAGAGGCCTTAATATTATGATTTAAGGTGTATTCCTTAATTAACGGGTATTGGGTTCTCTGGGAAGGGAAGAGAGTGAATAAGTATAATAGGGGCCTGAATAATTAGAATAGGGTTTCATAGGGCTCCTGTAAAGGGTTCCTTAAAGGGTTCTACAAGGGATACTATAAGGGTTTAGGGTTTAGGGGCCTTATTGATAGGGTTTGGGGGCCCATTATACTATAATCATAATAAGGAATCCCCCCCCCCCAAAAAAAAAAA